GGTACGTCACTGTGCCTTGGCCAAAATGACACTTTTTAGCATTTAAGGTAAGATTTGCCCTTTTCAAGATGGCAAACAACTGGCGTAACCTAGCTATGTGGTCAGCCCAGTTACTGTCAAACAGCACGATATCATCTAAATACGCCCGACAATTTGGCACCTTAGCGAGTAGAGAGTTCATGAGTCTCTGGAACGTGGCAGGGGCATTACGCAAGCCGAACGGTAACACTTGATACTCAAAAACACCCTCGGGTGTCACGAACGCGGTGAGCTGCTTAGCACGTTCGGTGAGTGGGATTTGATAATACCCCCTCGAGAGGTCGAATTTCGAAACGTACTTGGCATTTCCCAACTCGTCAATGCAGTCCTCGAGGAGGGGCAGCGGATAGGCATCCACAATAGTCACCTTGTTGAGCTGCCGATAGTCGGTGCATAATCGCCAGGAGCCGTCTGGTTTGGGGACCAAAAGGCAGGGCGAGCACCAAGAGCCCTGGCTCGGCCGGATGAGGCCGTGCTGGAGCAAGAAGTCGACCTCCTTCCGTACGATGGCCTTCTTTTATGGACTCATCCGATAGGGTTGAAGGCGAATGGGAGTGTAGTCCGTCAACTCGACATCATGACAAATGGCATCAGTCTGGGTCGGGACCTCCCCGAACAGACTGGAGAATTCATCAACCAACGACTGCACCTCTTCACGTTGGGCCATCTGCAAATGGGACAGTTCCTCCACAGCATTCACAGAACTAGAATTATTGAAAATGAGATTAGTTGGGTCCCCAGAACAATCATCCCCTCTCTCACTGGAAATGGAAACATTGGTTAGTGCAATGGGCCTGGGGCCCTGGAACTTCTTCAGTCGATTTACATGTATGAGCATTACCTGGTTACGTTTGTCAGAGTGCCTCACTTTGTACGTGAGGTCCCCAGTCTTTTCTGTCACAATGTAGGGGCCTTCGTACTTGTGGGACATAGTGTTCCCTAGTCGAGGCTTTAATACCAGGACAGGGTCGCCAGGCTGAAATACCCGTAACTTAGATTTAGCATCGTTACGTTCTTTCATCTTTTCTTGGGCCTTGCCAAGATACTTAAATGCAGCCGCCTTGCAGTCCTTGAGTCTCTGGTGGTGTTGCGCAAAGAAAGCCGAACCTTCGGTTAACGTTACGTTCCCTAACAGATTCTCCTGTAACATTTGCAAGGGTCCACGAACTTTATGGCCAAAGACTAACTCAAAAGGAGAACAGCCCAGTGAACTTTGTAATCCCTCTCTAGCCGCAAACAAAACATACGGTAAATTCTCATCCCAGAAGGTGTGGGAACTCTCGCACGATGTCTTCAACATCTGCTTCAGAGTTAGATGGAAACGTTCAATTACCCCCTGACTCTGTGGATGGTATGGGCTGGAAACCTTATGAGTTATTCCATGTTCCTTACAAAATTGCTCAAAAATATCAGACTTAAAATTAGTACTATTGTCAGTTTGCACGACCGAGGCAGTCCAAAAGTGGAAAAAAATTGCAACATACGAGCAACAACAGTTTTTGCTCGGATGTTCCTTACAGCAAAAGCCTCTGGGTAACGAGTAGTGATACACATCATCGTGATTAGGTAAATATTACCAGACTTAGTTCTAGGTAATGGTCCAACACCGTCCATTACCACATGAGAAAATGGTTCCTCTGGCACGACAATAGGCCTTAGAGGAGCTTTAGGTGGAGTCTGGTTTGGTTTCCCAACCAGTTGACAAACAATACACGCATTACAAAATTTTGCCACATCGCTTTTCAGCTTGGGCCAGAAAAAATGCTTTAAAATTTTGTGATACGTAATATTAGTACCTTGATGTCCCCCCATAGGATCATCATGAGCAGCTGCCAAAACTCTTTCTCTATAGCAGGTCGGCAACATAACCTGGTGGACTACCTCCCACTCATTTGACAAGGGAGCACTCTGTGGTCTCCATTTTCTCATCAAAATCCGATCATTGTAGTAGTACCCAGTTGCTGCGTCTACAATTTCCTCCATAGAGACGGCTGTTTCATGACAATCTGCAAGAGTGGAGTCAGCTTTCTGTAACTCACTCAAGGAGGCATCTAGGCCTTGGTCAGATGCCATTGGCCGAGGCTCAACAGTGTTCTCCTCCACCTCCCCACTACTCTCTGTAGATGGCGGTGGCAGGCTCTCCACAATGTCCTCGGCCACGTCATCGAGTCGGGCCATGAATGTGTCCGCGAGGTCCACTTGGTTTTCACCACTCGGAAAGCTCCTCGTGACCTTGGGATTTACCACCTTGGCAAGCACAGGGCTGCCCTTACATTTAAGTCCCATAGACCTGGTCACCGCGCACGCAGGGTACACAACATTATCCTCTGCGGCGGGTGGATCCAGGCAAACCTTAGGGGTAGGCAACATAATAGGCAGTCTGGAGTCCCCTACCTTATCCCCTGCTAAATCATTACCAACTATTACATCAACATTAGGGAAAGGTAGGTATGAAGTGACTCCGACTGTACAAACGCCCTTGTGGAAATCAGATTCCAGGGTAACCTTATGGAGGGGTACTGCCCGAGTATCACTAGTGACACCCTCGACCAGTACCACCTCTCCAGTGTCGAGAGTGTTGGCACCTTGCAACGCACTCTCTAAAATTAAAGTCTGGATGGCACCGGTGTCTCGGAAGATCACCACGTCCTTCCAGGAAGAACCCTCAGACAAAAGTAGTCTCCCTTTCGATAAGAATGGGGTAAGCAAGTCCAACCACTGTGGGTTGGAGGTCTTACTCCCTAACCCTTCTGAAAGCCTCAAGCCCTGTGTCACAACTAGAGCATTGGGTCTTTTTTCAGGGTGCAGTTGCCAACAACGGCTAATAGTGTGGTTTGGACGATTACAGTGACCACAAAAACGTCGGGGAGAAGAGACATTACTAACAGAATTACCCTTCGGTTCACCTTTAGGTGCCGTTGGGCTAGACACTTTAACAGGGTTAGTTATGTCTGAAACAGAAGGTGCATTAGGTAAAGGGTTAGAATGAGCTGGTCTGGACTGGCTGTGGGTATAAGGTTTGCTACTCTGTGGGGTATAATTATTTTTATTGGGCCTTTTGCCCGCCAATTGGTAGTTTCTGCCAACTTGGCCAAATCCCCTATTTTAGAATTTAACTCTATCCTTCCTTTAATGTACTGTGATACGTTCTCTGGCATAACATCTATAAAATGCTCCATTAAAATTAAGTTCCTGAGAGCCTCGTATGTTTCAGCTTTCGCCGAGCGAATCCATCTATCAAATAATCGAACTTGATCATTCACAAATTCAGTGAGCGGTTGGTTGTGAGTAGGCCTAAGGTTACGATAAACTTGGCGGTGAGCTTCAGGAGTAATTTCATATGCCCGCAAAATACATTCCCTGACTTTATCATATTCGAAACACTCGTCGTCAGGCATGTTTATAAAAATATCTTGTGCTTTACCCCTAAGTCTTCCCTGTAGGATTTTCACCCACTCTTCCTTTGGCCAGTTCATGGACGTGGCCACTCTCTGAAAATGGTTGAAAAACCTTTCAGGGTCAGACTCGGAAAATTCAGGCAAATTATGCTTTTTCTCATAATGCCTGGGGTTTGAATCTCCGGCAGGTGGAGGTCCAGTGGCATCTTCTATGGGGTACTGGTACTATTAAGGGGTAAAGGTAGTTAGAAGACAAGAGTATCAAATATGGGAGAGCTAAAAGGCCCGGCCCCCAAAATAAACTATCCACAGTAGTAATAACTTGCTACAAGACCATATATGTTAGTCTAAGGGTTGATCACTGCGCTCCCACCTTGGAAGAAGAGATACTCTGTAATTCATGTACTTATTTATTAACCCCTTAACAACCCCCCATATACACTCACACCAAACAATAATAATAATAACTTTACCACACTATCTTACGTTAAAAGCCTTGGTCCACGTAGGCAGGATACAAGGTTTACACTAATAACAAGCTAGGGTAAAGTACTACTGGATAAGCACTGAAGCTGGATGCAGCTTAGGGTAGTGAAACCACGTGGGACCCTAATACAAAACACAACACTTAGGGGTACCCAAACACTGGCAAAATACTATCCCCAGGTCTCACCAATCGTTACTACCAGAGTAGGCACACTCACTAGTGCCCCGTACTTAGCTTAAGGATACAGGAACTTCAGGTAAGGGAAATAAGTAAGAGGAGAAGGAAGGAGAGTAGGGATACAGCCACAGAGTAGGTCTTAACCACCCGACACCAGCCACCGAGAAGAGTCAGCTCGCCACCAGCTGCCTCCCTCATCGTGGTGCCGGGAGGAGCCTAATTGATCGTGCAGCTAAGCACATTAAAGATCTTCCCCTATGCAACGTATTGTTACTTTATGAATGATTAGAAAGTATTAGTAAGCAAAGTTGGTGCCTATGTTATTATTTAATAATCAACCCCCAGCTCAGTCTTTAAATGCTCTTTGAGAAACAATAATAGTCTTACGTCTGGCAGGGAAGATACAAACAATTTCCATTCGAAATGCGCCAAATGGACTACTTAGGAAGTTTAATAGCTCAATTTTGACCTCTGGTTTCCACTGGAGAACCCAGGGTCGTAACACTCACTGAGTGAGGGGTGGGCGCCGCTGTGCTCACTGAGTGCTGGGTGGTCGCCGCTGTGCTCACTGAGTGCAGAGTGTGCGCCGCTGTGCTCACTGAGTGTGGGGTGGTCACTGCTGTACTCACTGAGTGCGGGGTCAGCGTCGCTTTGCTCACTGATTTAGGAGTGGGCGCCGCTGTGCTCACTGAGTGCAGGGTGCTCGCTGCTGTGCTCACTGAGTGCAGGGTGCTCGCTGATGTGCTCACTGAGTGCAGGGTGCTCGCTGCTGTGCTCACTGAGTGTGGGGTAGTCACCCCTGTGCTCACTGAATGAGGGGTGGGCGCCGTTGTGCTCACTGAGTGCAGGGTGGGCGCCCCTGTGCACCATTTTTGCGGGGTGGTCGCCGCTGTGCTTACTGAGTGTGGGGTGGGCGAGATGTGCTCACTGAGTGCGGGGTGGGCGCTGCTGTGCTCACTGAGTGTGAGGTGGGCGCTGCTCTGCTCACTGTGTGCGGGGTGGGCACCCCTGTGCTCACTGAGTGCAGGGTGGGCGCTGCTGTGCTCACTGAGTGCAGGGTGGGCGCTGCTGTGCTCGCTTTTTGCAGGGAGGTCGCTGCAGTGCTTACTGAGTGAGGGGTGGTCGCCGCTGTGCTCAGTGAGTGCGAGGTCGGCGTCGCTTTGCTCACTGAGTACTGGGTGGGCGCTACTGCGCTCACTGAGTGCAGGGTGGTCACCGCTGTGCTCACTGAGTGCGGGGTGGTTGCCGCTATGCTCACTGAGTGCGGGGTGGGCGCCCCTGTGCTCCATTTTTGCGGGGTGGTCGCCGCTGTGCTTACTGAGTGTGGGGTGGGTGCCGCTGTGCTCTCTGAGTGTGGGCTGGGCGCTGTTGTGCTCTCTGAGTGTGGGGAGGTCGCTGTTGTGCTCACTAAGTGCAGGGTGGGCGCTGCTGTGATAACTTTTTGCGGGGAGGTCGCCGCTGTGCTCACTGAGTGCGGGGTGGGCGCTGCTGTGTGTACTGAGTGCAGGGAGGTCGCCACTGTGTTCACTGAGTTCCCGGTGGTCGCCGCTGTGCTCACTGTGTGCGAGGTCTGTGCCGCTGTGCTCACTGAGTGCGGCGTCGGCGCTGCTGGGCTCACTGAGCTGGGAGTGGTCGCTGCTGTGCTCACTGAGTGCAGGGTGGGTGCTTCTGTGCTCTCTGAGTGTGGGGTGATCGCCGCTGTCCTCACTGAGTGCAGGGTGATCGCCGCTGTCCTCACTGAGTGCAGGGTGGGTGCTTCTGTGCTCACTGAGCGAGGGGTAGGCGCCACTGTGCTCACTGAGTGTGGGGTGGACGCCGATTTGCTCACTGAGTTCATGGTGGCGCTGCTGTGCTCACTGAGTGCGGGGTTGGTGCTGCTGTGCTCACTGAGTGCAGGGCCCGCGCCACTGTGCTCACTGACTGCGGGGTGGTTGCTGCTTTGCTCACTGAGCGCGGGGTGGTCGCCGCTGTGCTCACTGAGTTCATGGTGGCGCTGCTGTGCTCACTGAGTGCGGGGTCGGTGCTGCTGTGCTCACTGAGTGTGGGATAGGCGCCACTGTGCTCACTGAGTGCGGGGTGGTCGCCGCTGTGCTTACTGAGTGCGGGGTAAGCGCCACTGGGCTCACTGAGTGCGGGGTCGGCGCCACTGGGCTCACTGAGTGCGGGGTGGTTGCCGCTTTGCTCACTGAGTGCGGGGTGGCCACTGCTTTGCTCACTGAGTTCGGGGTGGGCGCTGATGTGCTCACAGAGTGCTGGGTGGTCGCCGCTGTGCTCTCTGAGTGCGGAATGGGCGCTGCTAGGCTCACTTTTTGTAGGATGGGCGCTGCTATGCTCACTGAGTGCAGGGTTTTCGAGGCTGTGCTCACTAGTAGTGGGATTTATGACTACGCGTGTCCGTTTTGCTTTTATCGAGGGACACTCGTAGTCATACCTGTTTTCCATCACCCTGGCAAGTGATTGCCTTATAGCCCATGAAAATTTGCTCAAGGAGATTAAAAGGCTCCTCGTAGTCATACCTGTTTTCTGTTACCCCAGCAAGTGATTGCTTGCCTCCGGGTCTTAGCATTTCACTCAAAGGGATAAAAAGTCGGTCTATGAGTCGCGTGTTTTGCTTTACCCCAATGACCACGAAACCGAATGTAAATAACGTCATCCCTGGTCTATTTAAATCTCCTATTTACTTCCAATCTATGTTAACCAGAACATCAACTGTCGCTATTAGATGAACTTCAGTAAGTCTATTTCCCAATTAATATCCCCTTTTTCTATATTTATACACATCAATAATGTAACTCCAATAATATTTAGAAGGTTCTATTTATTCCCCTTACTTATCTGGAAGCTCTATATTTAATGTTCGGTCAATGATCGTTTATTCATTATATAAATGAATGAAATCCATTCATATGAAACAAAGGGGAATAACACAGAGCATAAACTATCATGTATCTCAGCGTTCGCCCCTGTTGTCGAACTTGTATTTACCCAGGACTTTTCCTAAATCTGAAACTTATCCAATTTATACCCATTGTTTTCTTGTTCTGTCTCGTGTTTATAGTAGTTAATAGCCTATTAATGTCCCCCTTTATCATGTCCATTCTCTCACCTCTATCGAGTCACCCCTATTTCTTCACCTTTCTAGAGAATGTAATATAAGCTTTGTCAATCTTTTCTTCAAGGATCGTATATTTAGCATAGGGCTAATAAAAATGAAAACCCACTATTAAACATTTGTATGAAAACAGACCCCCCCCCCAGTCATGGTGACAATAGGGAGTTCAGTAGTAATCCAATATATATTTATTGCTGCATAAATGCATAAATATATATGCACATGCACAATCGTGCATAAATATATATGTACATCTCACATTCGCTCAAAAACATGTCTCCCACACCCTACTGTAGCATATAACAAATGAAAATACTCATTCAGTGTATATATATATATATATATATATATATATATATATATATATATATATATATATATATATATATATATATATATATATATATATATATATATATATATATATATATATATATATATATATATATATATATATATATATATATATATATATATATATATATATATATATTGTGACGGTAACGCGTTGGTGTTCGGCTGTTCAAAGCTAGGGGTATGGCCTCGTCACATAGAATTAAAAAAAATTGAAAATCTGGAACTTCGTCTGTGGTAAGGTAAGGAGAAGACACACAAAACACAAGTAAATTTTAACGATGAAATTTTAATTACGTTAGATAAACAAAACATGAATATAATGGACATACAAATTCGTATAATAAAATCAATCAATCAAAATAATAAGAATAATTAAATGGCAAAATGAAAAGTTACGTTAAGACAAGTGAGCAATAACAAGCTGTGCAATATGCAATAAAATGAGAGGTGCGGGAATATTGGCTTTAAGCTATCACCTCTCTCAGTACACGTAAGCCGAAAGCTCAGTCTACCAGGAAGAAGTGTTAACCGTATGAAAGCACTGAATATTCTGAGGACTGAGGTCGTGGCGGCCCCAGACATCAAGTAGTATGGGGGGTGGAGTGCAGTTGCAGCCAGACCGGCGGCCAATCAGCGAGTAGCCGGCAACAAGACAGGTAGTTTGGCGGTTTGAGGCTGAGCAGGTGTCCCTGGCTGCATACGTTTTGCGCTCTGGCAAACCATGGAGATGTTGTTGTCGTTGTTGGACATTTCTTTCATAGTAGTTTTATATATTTGTAGTGACGTATTTTTGGAGGGAAGAGCAGGCTCAATCTCTTGAAGGAGATTATCGTCACAATATTCGCTCATTGCTCATATTTTCTGTTATTTAATTCATAAGCTCGAACACACCCCTCCTAACCTAATTTATTATAGACATAAAAAAAATACATTTCTACAGACCCGCTGTTGTTGTTGTTTAGCGACGTCACAAAAAGCTGTCTAGTATAGGGATAGGGTATTGCTAGCCATTAGCATATAAGTATTAAGGCACCACTGGAACCTGACTTTTCAAACTGGGGTATGACGTCACCAGATGGCCAATGCGGTCTTTAGCATGGTACTTGCATATGTAGTCTTTTAAATGTTATTATTCAAAATGGCTAGACTCTCCATCCCCAACCTAACCTAACCTAATTACAGGTTTAAGTATATACATTTAGTCAACCACAGCTGTAATCATTGTATTATGCAGTGCAGAGATCAAAACTAAAAAAGCTACCCAAATCTCGTACCGCAATTTAAGCAGAATCGTACGTCTGGCAGCATAGTAGATAAGCTGAAGATAGGAATAAAGGTAACTGCAGAAGGCCTATTCGCCCATACGAGGCAGCGCCTATATATCGAACCCAGCCCCAATCTCATTCTTATATATATATATATATATATATATATATATATATATATATATATATATATATATATATATATATATGTCCTACCAGCACTTAAAACAATAAAGGGACCCCACACCCGATATTAGATTCAAAAATAAATTATATTAAATAGCTCATATTCCAGTTTTTACACATCAGCAATTATGAAACACTGTAGCTAGATATCGTACTATAATCTGCAAGTAGTTACCGTACATCTGGCATCTCAGCGTATTAGTAGCTGTGTTCATAGCCCAGTCAACTGTCCTTACATCCATCAAATAGCTATCCAAATGTCGCGCCGCAATTTATGCTATATGAAACCCTAAAATGCATTTAAGAACAAAATTTCAGCAACCCCATTATAAAACACATGCACATTTATACTCAATATAGCATTTTAAGCACAAATCATTTCCACACTAAATTCCATTTACACATAAAATACAACATTTACACGCCAAATATGTCATTTATGCACAAAAATATTATAGACACTCAAAATATATCATTCACACACAAAAATATGTAATTTCTAGACAAAAATATGTCATTTACATACAAAATATGGTCAGTTGCACACAAAAATATTCCATTTACACAAATATTGCATGCACACTCAGAGTATGACATTTACACAAAGTATGGTATTTGCACAAAAATAGCAAATTGCTTATACATTTAGACAATAAAAAATGCGCTTTCACTAAAATTACACAATTTCATAAACATAATTTTAACAAAGTACCCACGCATTGTCTCATAAACCAAAATACACTTTCACACTTGCACATGAAGATCTATTTTTTCCGATTACATATACAGAACTTACACAAAATACAAAATTCGCACAAAAAATACAGTGGCACCAGTTCCACTTCAGGAAATTAAAAACACATCTTCCATAAATACACTGTTCGCACAAAACAATTGTAAACTATGGACAATTATTTCACAAATTGTGTAATTATTACAAATCATTACACACTTTATACAATTTATACAAGCAAACTTGCTATATAATTACATAACTCTTTCAATGACAATCAATACACAACAGGTGTAAATACACAATTCTTCCATATACAATCACACAACATGTGCAATTAATACACAGCTTGCACAAATATTATGCATCTTTCATAATTATTATTACACAACTTGCATAAATGCAATCAAAATACATATCCAGCACAAATACATACAATACATAACTAGCCCAAATATGTAAATACGCAAGTAGCAAAAATGCACAATTCACACAAATACAATTACAATATATGCACAATTAATACACAACTTGCACAAAATATAGTCAATACATTACTAACCCAAATATGAACACAACTACTACATTCCACAAATACAAATACAAAACATTCGCAATTAATACACAACTTTCACAAACAATACACAATTTGAAGGAATATAATTAATACATAATAGAAATCATCATATGACTTATGCAATATACAGTATCTGCACAATTAATACACAACTTGCACATGTATAATAATTGTGCTATTTGCACAGTTACAATCACAACCAACTAGGGAAAACAATACACAATTTGCATTATATTTTTTCTAGGTTTGTTTTGGTCATCATTTATAATATGCCGAGTTTAAACAACCCCCCAAAAGTTAGAATTTCACATGAATGACTGGCAAGTCTGACATCCTATGAGCTCAATATAAAAACACATTTACCATAAATGTTTCAACATTATTAGTGCTAAACTATTCATCTAGTATATGTCCTTTGTTTTTAGTGTCTTATTAATACCCCTTGTTACCCAGCAAACAATTTTAGGTTGCCACAACATATCTGGAAAGTATTTGAAAGTATTGGAAACGTTTGTTTTATCGTATCAGATACGATATTGTGTGTGGACTTAAATAGGTTTCCAAAACTTATAACCAAGACATATGTATCTAACACTAATTTGAGATGTTGTGGCAACTTTACACTCCTAACATGAGTCATTCATAATCCATTCATATACCAATATGAATCTCTTATGAAAGGTTTGAGCCAATAATCTGAACCCTTTTCACATCTTTGTGTTTAAAGTTAAATTTCTTGAAATTAAATTATATTTTATATTATATTATTTTTATTATATTTTATATTATATTATTATTTTCAATTTAAATATTAAAACCAATTTAAGGGTAAAAAAAATCTAATAATTTATATTTCTTTTATTATTTACTAACAATTATAATTATTTACTAACGGAGAGAGGGGAGGCTGTACGGCGGAGAGTGGCGGCGTGCGGACAGTGGCGGCGGTGGCGGACAGTGGCGACGGTGGCGGACAGTGGCGGCGGGCGGACAGTGGCGGCGGCGGGCGGACAGTGGTGGCGGATAGTGGCGGCGGGCGGACAGGGCGGCGGCGGGCGGACAGTGGCGGCGGGCGGACAGTGGCGGCGGGAGGACAGTGGCGGCGGTGACGGATAGTGGCGGCGGGCGGACAGTGGCGGCGGGCGGACAGTGGCGGCGGCGGGCGGACAGTGGTGGCGGATAGTGGCGGCGGGCGGACCGTGGCGGCTTTGGCGGCGGTGGTGGACAGTGGCGGCGGGCGGACAGTGGCGGCGGCGGGCGGACAGTGGCGGCGGCGGGCGGACAGTGGCGGCGGCGGGCGGACAGTGGTGGCGGCGGGCGGACAGTGGAGGCGGCG